ACGCTCCTTTCTCAAGTTCGGAAGAAGTTTTTCAAGGTGACCTAGTTTGTTTATCTCACTGTGTTTCAAAATGTGTCCTAATAAGTAGGTACATTCTTCTTTCTTCAGTAATTCACTTTTCATGGTGTTGTTCATAAATTCTTCTGATGTCATCAATAAATATCGCACAGAGAAAAGCAATTCATCCCCAAGTGCATTTCGACGATTAGTAGAAGACAATTCCAAACAATTTCTTTTACAAACACTTTTACTCCATTGTTCCAAAGCTTTGAACAGCACCACTTCAGATGAAAGACATAAGGTGTCTCGTTGTACTATAAAAAGAAGTTCCTCCTTGCAAAGTTCATCAATTAGTTCCTGCTGGAGCACTTTATCTGCTTTGAGATCAATAAACTGCAAACAACGTTGCAAAAGGAGCATGTAGTTCTGACTATTATCACACACAGATATTTTTGAGTGATTCTCCACACATTGTAATGGCACTTTCAGTTCGCAACGAGTTGAATCTACTTTTGATTTATCGGTCTTACTTGAAGTTGGTTCACTCAAAGTACTGTTGCAATTGTTCCGAGCTGAATTTTCAAAAAGCAGGCACTCATTTTCTGTTTCCTCTCTTGACTCTATCACATCTAACGATGGTGCAGATGGAGCTGGTACTGTGTGAGCCCCCAACGAATTGCAGTAAAACCGAATGTGCTGCAAAATAACGAGAACCGAGCTAGTATTGATGTGAGAAGAGAGATAGTCTAGGCATTGACTTTCCAGTTCTTCACGCTGATACTTGTGGGCAGCATACAGTGTTCCCAATGCAGTGTCTACACTCTGCAGCTCAACAGCCTCTCCATACATATGCCTGAAACACACAATGTTTTCATTAGTACGAATTAACCAACTTTTTGGCAAAACAATTGCTAACTAGATATATTAAGTAGCTGACAATTGTCTAAATCATATAAAGGCGGCTCCACATATTTAGCATTCACCGAGCAGTGAGCTTCTTCCCACCCAATCCCGAACAGCTGATGTGTTTGGCAAATGTTTGCTTCCTTTGATGTGTCCTAAAGACCGACATGCGGTAGGTAGGGAGAGAACTAAATGTTCGTCACCCACCCGAGCAAGTGGTAGGCATAAGTAAACTGGTTCAGGTGAACAGATAAAGACAGAACAGCATACATGCTTTGAATGCCTCCCTTGCTCAACCACCGACTCTAACAGTTCTATAAGCTCTGAAATACTTATCTCATAAGCAGTAGTACTTAATAAGAAATACCCTTAATTAAATACTTAGTTAACATGTTATTTGTTATGGAATATTTCCCATTGAATACTTTTGAAATGTTTTTCAACAGGGACCCTTTAATTGGTTGGTTTAGTTGGTGAAATACCTTATTTGAGATCCCTGAATTTGGAGGCTATGCACTGGATGCATTAGCCTACCTACGGCCTTGTATTTCAGTATTATTAGTGGAACCCATAGTTAAATAATGGCGATGGCCCCTTATGAATCCGCCCCTGCTTAGTTTCCTTCAATGCTCGTTGTGCGTTGAGTGTGTGCAGCAGGGAAGTGGAGTGTGCAGGAGCTTTAGCATGAGCAGGGTAATGGCAAAGGGGCAGGAGTAGGAATAGGAGCACTAGGGCAGGGGCAAGGGTAAGGCGGGGGTGGGGCAGGGGCAAGTAAGGTTAGGTGTAAAGGGAGGGGCGGAGGGGCAAGGGTGTGACGGAAACAGGATTAGAGGCAAGGTCAGGAGGAGTGGTGAGGACAGGGGTAGGGGCAAGGTGCAGGAGCAGGAGTAGTGAGGGGGCAAGGGGAGGGCAAAGGGAGGGCAAGACAGGAGCAGAAGCAGGAGCAGTGGGGTGGGCAGGGGCGCAGGGGCCAGGGAACGGGGCCAGTAGCAGTCATGGGGGCAAGTGGACGTGGGGGAGGCAAAGGGTTTGGGGGGGAGTAGGAGCAGTGGGCGGAGAGTAGGGATAGAGGCAGGAGTAGGAACAGGAGCAGTGGCGAGAGCAGGGGAGGGAGCGGTGCAGTGG